TTTGATTTTGATTTTTTTTTTTTTTTTTTTTTTTTTTTTTTTTTTTTTTTTTTTTTTTTTTTTTTTGTCTATAGGTGACCTACGATGGCGGACGAAGATCCAAAGCCACTCACATATATACCAGAGGTTATACTTAAGAAGAGAAAGGTCAATGAACTGGCGGCACTGAGAAGAAAGGAGCAGTTGGAATTAAGGAAGCTGAATTCGAAGAAAAACAAGGATGGGTTTATTAAGCTGCCTGAAGAATTTGTCAGAGAATATCGTGCTAGAGTAACTCATCTACTTCGAAGTTATTTCATCTACTTTGAAGTTATTGTGAAATATGCTTAATGTTTGTGTTTTACACTTTTACTAATCAATCACATGCATAAATCCCCTTTTGGGAGATATATGGAATGTACATTTGAACTCTTCTTATGTGCAAATTATCGTTGTAATGAAAATTGGTTCAAAGGGTATCAGGTTGGGCATGCAATAATGTTGAATGGTTGAATGGGAGGAAAGCTGTGGGTTTAGTCAATTTGGTGTGAATTGCTGGCTTCTTGAAATGTTAATATTTTCCAGCCACTAGGTTATTACATGTCCTAAGATATTGGGGCTGTTAAATCCCGTGCTTTGTATTTTTAAATTTTAGGTGCTTTAGTCGTTCAATTGTTTGATAAGATTTTGGTAGAATGACTTCTGAAAATTTCTTCTAGTGAGTTTTTAACTATGTGCCTAGTTATTAATATGCGAAGCATCACCCTGATTCTTTTCATACACATATATCTTATGTAGGAACTCGACTTTGTCAAGATGAAGCACAGGATAAAGAGAAAAAGAACTGCCTTGGTGCCATCAAAATCAAAATTGATTTTTATAATTCGGATACAGGGGTAAGAATGTCTTAGCATTTACTTTCTTTTCTCTCCTTTTGTGTAGCTTCCAAGATTAGTAATTGTTTCACTATATTTTTCCAGCAAGAACGACATGCATCCAAAGACAAGGAGTCTCTTATATAAGCTTGGATTAAGTAGAGTTTTCAGCGGGGTCTTTGCGAAGGCCAATGAGCATATTCTAGGAAAGCTACAAAGGGTGGAGCCGTATGTGACATATGGGTATGTGAACAATCATTTTTCTTATATTAGGTCCACTAGATTTCACTTTTCTTTCTCCATGATTTTACTGAAATTTTGGTTGAATTTCAGATACCCTAATCTTAAAAATGTGAGGGAGCTCGTCCATAAGAAGGGATTTGCAAAGATAGACAAACAAAGAGTTCCTCTAACTGACAATAACATCATCGAACAGGTACGACAAACCATCTTAGCTACTCTACTCCCGGGTTGGAAAGACGGCCTTATTCTCTTTTACCACCTTGTAATTTTGATGGTAAATTTCAGGAATTGGGCAAGCATGGAATCCTTTGCATGGAGGATATTGTGCATGAAATTGCTAATGTTGGCCCACATTTTAAGGAGGTAATTTCCTTTCTATGGCCCTTTGAACTTGAAAAGCCAGGAAGTGGACTTCAAGGGAAAAAATCATTGTACAAGGAGGGTGGGGATGCTGGGAATAGAGAGGATGATATCAATGATCTGATTGATGCGATGAATTAGGTTTGAATCAGATCATTTGATTTAAAGATAGGTTTCAGAAAACCTGAAGGAACTGATAGTTTCTGTAATTCAATTTTGTTAGTATCATTAGTTCTTGACCTATCAGCTTATGAGACTTTTAACTTGTATCCAAGGGCTTGTAATGTGTGGATACAGGAAAATTTTCTGGTGCCACTGTTGTATTTGATCTTTTACCAATTTGGCACAAAACGTTATTAAGTGATATATTATTTTATTTTATTAGCGCTACAATATTCTCACCAAACTCGGTTTGAGTTCGATCTCGACATCAAAGTTATCATCTTAGAATTCATTTTTATTTGATGTATTAATTTTTTACTAACAATTTCGCTTTTAAGTTTATTATAAAACTAAAAAAAGATCAATATTATTTTAAAATTCTATTTTTTATTTATCCATTGATTAATCCAAATTTATCAGTTCTATCATTTCCCAATTCTCCCTTTATTATTGAAAAAAATCGTCAACAATAAAAACATCTAAAATATAATAATTTATGCATGGTCAACTTCCATAAAAATTTATGTTTAATAGAATTTTAAATTTCAATATTGCATTTAACAAAATTTTGAATTATTGAGTGTTTTTATAAGTCCAGGGTTCTGTTAAAATTTAACAATTAATTTTTTAAAAAAAATTTGGAAGTTCGGTGGACATTAAATATAAATTTAAAAATTTGAAAGAAAATCTTTTAAATATTTTAAAATTTTAATGACATATTAAATAGTTTTAAATGGCTAAATTATTTGATTGAAAAGCTTTAACAATGATTTAGTGACAGCTTTAAATAGATCTAATAAAAATAATTGCCCTATTAGGTTACTTGGTTAAGGCATACGGTCATCGGTTCGAAACTTATCTGGGCCGCCTACTTTCTATCTTTTTTTTCCTTTCTTTTAATTCTCAAATTTAAAATAAAATGAAAACAACAAAAAACCCAAAACCCTTGCAATCGGTGGTTTCAACTCTGCCGCCTCTCCCCTTCTCCACCGGCGCGCCTTTTCTTCTTCCTCTTCCGCAATCCATATTTCGGGTTAGCTTCCTCTTTTCCACTTTCATTTATCGCTCTCTTTGCGTTTAATCGTCCTGCAATTACAGAATCAACGATTTTCGTTAGGGATAATTGGTCTTGTAGCTGCAGAAAATCGGATATTATCGTGTTGTTCTAGGTCTGGCAGTGTTCTGTACACTCGATCTTTGTATTCATTTATGAATATTCTGCCCAACCCGAAACAAAGTTTTTATCTAAGTCTGCCCTTGCTTTCTTCTTTCTGCATTGTGTTTGTGTTCAACTTTGTTTTTTCCACACTCGCGAATCAACTTGCAGTGCACCAAAATTTGCACATGTTGCTGCCTTTACTCATCATTTTATCTGGCCGATTTTCTGTTCCCTCGCTTGGTTGTACTAGATTATGGTTTGTTCTTTCTCTCGGTGGCTTGCGGGCTAATTCAGGCTGGTTTCTAAACTTGTATTTGCTAGTTTTTGATATTCTGAAGTTTGGTCGAGTGATTTGAACATTTTACTAGATTATGAATGTGGGAATATAGTTTCACTTTCTTGATTACTTCGGTTTCAATGATTGTATGTTTAGTATTTCAAGTTCTTCAATTTAAATATTTGTAGTCTGTTGATGGTTGGTGGTTTCGATGACTTTTAATAACCTCAATGGTTGTTATTCATGTTTATAAGTATTGGAGTAATAAGAGAGTACAATTATGATATGTTTTCAACTTTCTGTAATTTGACTTCTAAATTTCAATTGGATGTCCCTCCCAAGTCCCAACAAATTCTTTTGATGGTTGATAGTTTGGAATCTTGATGAAGCTTAAGAACCGAAATAATTGTTGGTGGTGTTGTTTTAAGAGAGACTAATTATTCTTAAGAAGAAAAAATAAATTAGAAATACTAATTAGGATATGTTTTATTATGGCTTATTTAGAGAAGGCTAAAGTACTCATAAGCTGTTGACATACCCATCTATTATTTAATTTTGAACCATTGGTCAGATATGATTTGCTTCTCAACTTCACTTGTTCTATCTTTAATTTGTCAATTTGTGAATTATCTTACAGGTTGATCAGGGAGTATAAATGGGAGAGGAGAAGAAGAACAGGGATTTAATCCCATCAATGATAAAGAACAAGGAAAAGAGGGCAGAAGTGCATGCCAACCTCAAAAACCAGAAGAAGCTTGAGAAACGGAAGAGGGCCAAGGCTCGTGATGCTGCTGAGAAGCAAGCTCTTGAACTTGGTGAAGAAGTATCATATCATCTACTCATCTATTCTTTTTATCTTCTATTTCAAAGTTTCTGACTTAGCATTTATCTTTTTTCTCTGTAGCCTCCTCCTAGGAAAACTCCTCGCACCATTGAGAACACTAGGGAGGTTGATGAGACTGTTTGCAAACCTGATGATGAAGAGGTTATCCTTCTTCTTGTTAAATCTTAGTATATGACGTTGTAGCTTTTATTTAAATATATATTTTTACGTTGTATTCGGTTCATTTAGAGTACACACTTGTAATATGTCCAGTTTTGATTTTCTGCAGCTATTTGCCGGAAATGATGCTGACGAATTTAGTTCCATCATAAAGCGGGACATTGTGCCAAAAGTTTTAATTACTACTTGTCGTTTTAATTCTAGTGTAAGATTCTTCATTATTACTAGTTAGACAGTTCTTTTATTTTTTTAGCAACTTGCACTTCACGTAAACCTTCCTAAAGCCATCCACATTTAGTGAGACTTGGTACCTTATATTTTAATCTTCTGCTTGTATGTGACTTACTATTTGCAGATTGGACCTGATTTTATATCAGAGTTGCTTTCAGTGATACCAAATGCACATTACTACAAGAGAGGAACTAATGATTTGAAGAAGGTTCAAGTCATATTTGTATTTTCTAATGAACACACAGAAGGAAAAGGAAAATTAGAAAATTAAGAATAACACAAAAATAGTATGGAAGAAAGACTTGTAGCTTGTTATTCTGGCGATAACTTTGTGCGTTCGTGCACATGATTCTTCTCTTTCTTGTAGATTATAGAATATGCAAATGCCAGGGACTTCACTTCTTTGATTGTTGTTCATACGAGTAGGAGAAAATTAGGTAAGTTGCTAATCTTTCATTAAATCTTGCTGTTCTTTCTTGCATGTTAATTTGTCCCTTGCTAGCTTGTTTTTTCCTTTTTTCTTTTTTCCTTTTTCTTTTTCTTAAATAGTTTGTTTTCTTAGTTCAATAAATTAGATTCTTTCCTCAGTTTACATTAATGTATTGAAATTCTTGCAGATGGCCTTCTAATTATCGGGTTGCCTGAGGGACCTACTGCTCATTTTAAGATTTCAAATGTTGTCTTACGTAAGGATATTAAGGTATGCTGTTTCAATTCAATGAAATAGAATGCTCCACTTAGTTCTAATTTTGAATTGTGGTGCTGCATGTTAACTACTACTGGATTTTTCGAAGGTATATAATTTCCATGAAACTTTAACCATTTTATCCTTTTTTTCCTTGTAGAATCATGGAAATCCAACTGGCCACGAGCCAGAGCTTGTATTGACTAACTTCACAACACGCCTTGGTCTTCGTATTGGAAGGTTGTTTTCTGTACCCAAATTTGTTATTTGAAAATAAACCTCTTCTGAAAGACTGTATTTCATATTTAGGATTCTGGTTACTTTTTCTTGTTTATTACATCCATATGATTATGATATCTCTGCTTAATTTTCTCAATGTATTGACTTTTATTGTTTCCTCGTTTCTTTAGATTAATACAGACACTATTCCCTCAAGATCCTAATTTTCGTGGTCGGCGAGTAGTAACATTTCACAACCAACGTGATTTTATATTCTTCCGGCATCATAGGTATGATTCTGTATCTGGTTCAAATATTTTCGTTTTGTATGCATGAGAGTTTGGATTAATGATGAGTTTGTGCCTTTTGTCATCTCAGATATATTTTTGAAGGCAAGGAAAATAAAAAAGAGGTTGACTCAAAAACTAAATCCAAGGATAAGGGTGAGAAAGCTTCTCAGCCAAAAGTAGTTGCACGGCTGCAGGTAAATATCAAAATCTGCCCATCCATTTCACATAAAAGGATTCTTTTTTTGTGATGTCTATGGTGGTTTCTTTTTTTATGAGGAGACTTCAATATTCGTTTCTTTTTCTTATTATCTTGTCTCTTTTATTACAACTCGGGTCTTCTGTGCTTTTCTAGCTTTTTTGGTGCTGGTGATTAACAATAATTCATTCATAATCAAGAAAGAGTACAACAGATTGGACTTAAGAAAGTTTATAAACGTTGAGTGGGTTTTTGTTTATTAAATCAATTTAGAATTTGACTTAAGGATGTGCAGGGAGTAGAATTGACTTGTGTGATTACATGCCTAACTGTAAGATTTCATTATCCTCCTTGTGCAATCTCACATATTGGGCTTTTCGTATCCCATTGATCTGAAACTCTTTTCTCCATGATGAAATAAACAGCTCATCCAAAGGGGTTATAGCAAGCAAGCACCCCTTCACTTACTGACCAGAACTGCTATGTTATTCATTTTGTGTCAATCTTGTTTAGATTTGAATGGGGAAGTGATATTAGGAGACTTAATATGAGAGGGAGGAATATTACTGTAGATACAACTGATTCTGAGACTTGAATTTTCAGGAATGTGGTCCTCGTTTCACAATGAAACTGATCAGTTTGCAGCATGGAACTTTCGATACAAAAGGCGGGGAATACGAGTGGGTTCATAAGGTATGTCTCTGTCTCCATTCTCCATTAGGATCTTGACCCCAAAATGCATGAAATACACACTATTAGATCATATGATACATCCTGTTGATCTAATTCGTTGTTCCCAACTTCCTCTGATTTTCAGCCTGAAATGGATACAAGCCGCAGAAGATTTTTCTTGTGACATTCTCAATGGACTTCATTACTTCAATTTCCGGGGAGTAAAAGTTCGGCTCAGGTTTATATAAATGTTAGATCACATAGATTGTGGAGGGTGGACTGATTGGCGAATCTGAGTCTCTTTTTTGGCCTTCTTTTTGCATGTTAGAAAGGTGTTTTTCACAATTCTAAATTTTGTAGCATTAACGTTAAGGTTGAGTTGGCTTTATAGGTATTATAAATGTATCAGATATTTGTAACCATTTGGGAAGTATTTTTCTCGTAGCTGAACGCGAAGGAAGAGCCAACTCAGAGGACTCCATATATGCACATTTTATCCAATCTTGGTTTAGAAGAGCCAAGTTTCACTAACTTAGAGAATGCAAAATGGCATATCGTTGGTTTAGTTTATCGGATAAGATAAACTTGGTACTCGTACTCTTAATTTTTTCTTAAAAAAAAGTAAAACGTTTTAATGTTACTTTTGGCATGTTAGCATTTTTGTTCATTCCAACGACATTTTTTGCAACGAATATTGATATTGTAGGTAAAACGTATGGACGAAGGGAAACCAGGAGGGAGGTAGTTGAAAAAGTAATGTTAGTGAAGTTTGTGATGTTTGTGATGGGTTATTAAAGAGAAGCTCCTTCAAATAAAGTGGGGGAAGAGAGCAAATGGATTAAAGATTTTATGCCTTCATGGATTCAGAACCAGCGGGAGTTTTCTCAGAAACCAACTCACCAAATGGGATCCTTCCATTTTCCTTATTTATTTACTCATTAATTATTAAAACATTATTAAAATTATATAATAATTTTTGTATATTCAAATAGGAATTTCCAGCAGGAGGAAAACTCAGAGATCGAAGGATATTTTCCTCCTCCTCATTTTGAATGGTTTCAATTTAATGAGCTTCACAATTAATTTCAAATATTTTTTTTAATTTTTTACATCACTTGCAATGGCCCATTTCATGGACTCTTAGGCTTTTCTCAGGTTGCTTTATTTACCTTAATTTTACTCTTAATCATAATTTAATCCATTTTAATTTCTTTAATCTTTTATCCACGGCACGGTATTGTCAGCCCTCTTGTTGGGTTACGACGCCAACAAATCTAGCATACCTGAAATGATGTTACCGCCAAAATGAACATAACTGCTATATAATTGATACCGATAATGAACCTAACTCAATATATCAAAGTCAGTCAAAATAGATGAAGAACACTAACTTTACCATCATTTTTTACCCATCTCGTAATATCGTAAGTAGTTCTAAGATAACGAAACTGGGGAAGGTGTTGAAGGAGCATCCAGCAATGAAGATGTTTTTGTCAATATCAGGAACAAACTTCAAAGATGAAAGCATCTGTGAGGTTGCCTACAAGCACAAAATAAAGGTCAAATCTGTTCACCTTATCGGGGAAAAGGATTGGTTGAAGCTTCCTTCTGAAGAACTTGCTTCGGCCTTCCATGAGCCTCTCATCATAAGGCATCCTCAAGGCCATACTGTCCCCAGATTAGACGAAGTAGCCACTGAGGAGCTCCGCTGCTGGGTCGATGCGATAGTTTCGAGTCATGAACGTGTCGGAGATGCTGAAGCAAAGGAGAATATCACTCAGAAAATGGCTGAGAACATTGAGAATGAGCTCGAGAATAGTAATATAACTTTAAGTTGATAAGGCTCGGTGTGCTTTCTCTTCTCCATTTCTTTTAGTACTCGAATAAAAATATCTATTTAGAAACTATTATGACATCCGAGTAAAACAAAGTTATGTAAATGAACTATGATTATATTTGAACGAGAATAATTCTTACGAGAATACAACAGACAGTTACGAAATGCTCAAAAGAACCGATAGTTATTCTTTATACTAACAATTGTGTATCTTTTTGTTAGTATTTTAAAAAGGGCATGTTTTAACTCGTTTATACTTACATTCGTACAAAACGCACCTAAACTAATTAGCCTTTAAAAGCCAAAGAAAATATACTTAACTCTCCCGAACACAATCTCAATCCAATAAACTAACCAAAACACATTCCTTAAGTACATACATGTCCGGAAAAATAAAAAACCAAATTAATCATTCAAAGCCAAACACGAACAACCCTAACTCACTTAAATTCACTCTACATCGCACAAACTCACCCGACAAACGTTTCAAATCCTATAAACTGACCTAAACTAATTATCCCTTAAAAGCCAAACAAAATATGCTAAATTAACTCACTCAAACGCACTCTAAACCACAAGAACTCACCGAAACATACTCCATAACGATCAAACTCTCCACAACTAAAGTGCCTAACTCACCCCACATGCCATAAACTCACCAAACCCTCTAACTCAACTAAATCCACTCCACATCTTACAAACTCACCAAATTAAACACACTTCAATTCCTACAAACCCACCTAACATAATTAACCCTTAAAGGAAAAAAACATGTTTAACTCATCGAAACGCATTTCAAAGCTCTCAAGTTAATCATTGAAGCTACTTAAAATACAATGTCATAGTACTCACCAAACTAACAATTTAAAGTCAGAACAAACGCTCCTAACTCACCCAAATTTAATGCACAGCTAGCAAACTCATCGAACACACTCCACTAGACATAATTGAAACTATCTTTCAGCCATGTCCATGTATATTCGTGTTCTTACACCTCCTTACCAAATCTTATTTTTGTATTTTTTTTTTTAAATATTTATCTTAAAGTAATCTTAAACGTTATGAATAGAAATAAATCTCTTAGTAATTTTTTTAGTATAATAAATGTGAGAATTTGAAGATTGGAAATTTCAACTTTTAAGGGAAGAAGATTTTGGTTGATGAAGTTGGCGATTAAAATATTCATTTTATATAATTAAACTTATTTCAAAATGGCACTCCAATTAATTTAATATTGAAGTCAAATGGTCCTCAACGTTTGGGATAGCTGAAGGTCAACGTATATTGAAAAGGTCAACGCGGAAAAACTAGAGTTTTGGAGCCATCAATTTGGATTTTTTTGGCCTTTGGAACTCCCAAACGGACAAATTATACACAAAATGGTCCAAGAAGCGTGGAAAGCCGGCTGCTCATGGTCCCTTTGTTTTCATATATTTATGCATCCATCCTTTATCTTCCTTGTCCTTCATTTTTGGCCCAAAACTTTTCTAAATTCCATTTTAATTTTGGTTTATTAATAGTGTATTTCATCCCATTTTAATTAAAAAAAAAAAAATCTATTTTAGACTTTAAATTTTTAACAAAATTTTTAACAAGTTTTACGAATTTAAAGAAATAAATCCGCAGGTGAAAATAGCAAATAAGAAGAAAAGAAGCCCTCCATTGCAATAACAAAAAAGAAATTCTCAACAAGTTGGAATAAACCCGACGCAAATCGGCAGGCTATATAAACTGGCTCTTGCCCCAATCTTCATATCCCAAATCGATTTGTTTCTCCTCGTCTTCATTGCCTCTCTTCATTTCTCATCAAAGACATCAATGGGGAAATTCGTTGAATTGTTGGATGTTGGAGTGAGAATGGCGGCCAGATTTCACTCTCACTGTCCGCAAACTGCTCGCCTCTACTACCATCCTCCCTCCGATCACCACGGCGACCACCACCAACATAACTACTTCCACCACATTTTTCAGGCCTACGACGGTGGGCACCACGCCAGACACTCCACGGACCTGGTGGAGGCATGCGGAGTCGACACGCTGGCTATGGCTAGGGGTTCCGACGCTGAAGTTGTGTCTTTCCTTCAGCAACTTTTGATGATTTGATTCGGTTTTGGTTTTTTACTTCGGGGGCTTAATGTTTTACGGAGTGTAATTCACTGGCGCATGCCACTTGATCGGTCAAATTGTTATATGTATATATATATATATATATTTAGAACGATTACACCAATTTCGATATTCTCTCGATAGATCATAACATGTTTTGTGCTTATCTAAATATTCTCGATAAAAAAAAGAGATTACCCAGGATGCGGTGTTGATTTATCTATACGTATTAGTATGTTCCTAATTCAAACGAGAATGTTAGGTTTGGTTTGGATAGTTGAAAGCTTAGATTTGTTGGAGAATTAAGTGGATGTAATTAAGAGCTTCATGAGTTGTTGCCCTGGGGTGATCATCTTTGCTACAATTTGGCCAAAGTATTAGGCATCACCTTGACAAGAGCCCTACATCCAAAATCTTACGCTTGGTGATAGATCGAGTCACCCTATGTGTATCACTAAGAAAAAGAGGAAGGGATATAAAAAAAGGAAGGCACGAGTTTACGAGGTGAATGAGCTTCCAGTGAGTCTATTTGTTTAAAGTCTATTCACCGAGTGAAAGAGCCAAAAGGGATAGTAAAACTTGGGTGAAAGAAGTCAAATGGAGGGTTACGAGAATCTGAACACCTATTTACCTTGTAAAATCAGGTGAAGGAGAAAGAACCAAACAAACACCGAACTCTTATGTTCCTGTAAAAATTCAAGAATAGCAATCAAAAGAGGTAGATAAAATGCTAATTTTAAAGTTAAAAAAATATTTTTCTTTTTTTACTATTATTTGTTTGAAATTAAAATTAATTTTGAAATTAACCCGTATCCGGAAAAACTCCAAGTTATGAACCACATGCTCATGGGCTGGACAAATACTCTCCCTCTCGTGGTTCTATCTTCACCGTAGGGTTTATCTCCGATTCCACTCGCCACCGTTTCTCTCTGCCGCAATGGGCGGAGCCACCAGGTTCTTCGTCCTCCTATCCACTCCTCTTCCTCTCATTCACCACCACCGCCGCCCTTCCTTTCTCCGCCTCGCCTCTCACTACCACAACTTCTTCCGATCTTCTCTTCAGCCAAGAAACAGATTCTTATCCCCTTCCTTTCCCCTAATTAGAGCCTCTCGCCATGTCCATTCCCAAGTCTCCACTCCAGGGGATGAGTTCGGGAATTTTGAAGAATCTGGGTCCGTCAGTGGCGTGTTTTCTCAGGATTCTTATATTTGGCGAGAATGGTCCAAGTTCCTCGGGAGCCTCGACTCCGGTGGCTATTTTGGTAGTCTGGATTCTGGGAATGAGTTCGTCGCTGTTCAGGAGCTGCCAGCTGAGTTTGTGAATGCGGCTAATGCGTGTTTGGCATTTTCCCGCGGCCGTGAACATCTCTTAGGGTTCGTTTTGTGCCCTGTTTACTAAAAGGAAGCCAATTTGTTATTGATCATTACCTTCTTGTATTTTTTTATTTATCTATTTTTACTTGTTGTGGCAGATTGCTTCCTAGGAGGGATATTGAGGTGTTGGTTGAAAGCGTGAACCCATGTCTGTTCAGAGACGGGGATGCTTCATTGAGGAAGATGAAGTTGTTCTTACAAGGCGATGAAACTCAGGTAAGTATGGATTCCAGATTAGTATCTGTTAGTTCTTCATAATTGCTCGTTATATTAGCTGTAATTGCCTGCGTATCAAGGGACTTTGTGTTTGTTTCAGAAGTGTTTTAGAGTGCTCTTTTGATCTCAAGGGGCTATATTAACATTGACACTGGCTAAGTGACCAAATAACACATCAGACTAAGGGAGTCTTGGATAAAAATGATAATATATTTTTTTAAGTGTAAGTTTTAATAAATGTGTCTTTGTTGTGTTCATATCCTAGATATCGGACGTGTCACAATGTACTGTCATGTCATATCCGTGTCTCGTATCCATATCCATATCTTTTCTTATTAGGCTCCACCAAGTACCACACCCCTAGCTCATGGACTAATATTGTGACCCCTACTAGGATCTCATAGTTGTCTATGCGTCCTATAACTAGTCACAAGCTTAATGGATGCAATTATCTATCATGTTCATGATTATTTCTAATGTTTGTATGCAAGAAGAGAAAGGGTGACTATATTCTTGGAACAAGTACAAAGTGAAATGTTACTGGAGTTAAGATGACGCAAGCAGAGATTAACATGATGATGTGTTGGTTCATCAATTTTATGATTACTGAGACAGGGAAGTTCATACCCTGTTTTTTATATGAATTTGCAATGGAAAATTGGGATGCAAACAAGGAAACATTTGATGATCTAGTAAATACCAGTCTTTTGAAATTGAAGTCGGTTACGTGACTGGAGGCAAGGAGAGATAACAGTGACCAAGTATTCCAGTCCCGTACTCACTTATGGAAACAATTAGGTCTCTATGAGATTTAATAATATGGAATGCACCAATGACGTTTCATGGTACCAAAAGTTTCAAATTCCTTCTTGGATAAGTTTGAAGATAAACTGTAGCAATTAAGCCCCTAGAAATGAAGAAGGATGAAAGAAACTATATTGAGAAGAAAGTCGAGTACAAACTCTTCTAACTCAAGTCCTATTAATTTGATTTTAATTTCTCAAATTAATGTTCAATTTAATGCAAATAACTGTCCTTGAAAAGAAAGACCATAATGAGTACACAGTGAGAAATTTGAAGATACCAAAGTCTGTTGAACGTAGTACACTACAAGATATGGGGAGCACTAGAGAATACGAACCTTTATAGTAACTCTGTTTCTTGCATTGATTGCAACTTGGGACATTTTTGTAACCCTTAGGCTTTGGGTTGGGAGACAAGGATACCTTGCCATGGTTAAAAGGGTTTTTACTAAGGAAGCGAAATATGGTTGGAAGCGCACAGAGGAAATGAGTGTACTGTTTTGTTTGTTTTTTAAAGTGTCGTAGCCTTTTTAGCTGTGATTAGTTCATGTTTTGGCTTTATTGTTTACAAATATCCAACTTTAATTAGGTTTATATTTCTGTCTCCCATATAGCAATGGACTAAT